AGCCAATTGGTCTCCTTTCGATTGAAACATCCAATAATGGTAGCTTGCCATCCTTTTCACCTCCATGGTGAATTTGATGGTGTATGGAATTGATGTGTTGAGGAATTGGTTCAGAGCTGATCGGCCATGTGGCCAGATGACAAACGTGTCATCTACGTACCTCTTCCACAAGGACGGACGTAGAGTGGATACCTGGATGGAATCTGTCTCAAATTTTTCCATGAAAACATTGGCTACAACTGGAGATAAGGGAGAACCCAATGTGGTGCTTTCAACTTGTTTGTAGAAAGTTCTATTCTAGGTGAAGTAAGTGTTGGTGTGGCAGGGTCTCACCAGGGCCGGTACATGAACATTCAGTCCTTGTTGGACCAAGTCTTCAATGATTGCAATGGTGGCTGGCACAGGAACTTTGGTAAAAAAGAGACCACATCGAAACTAACGAGCACATCACCTGGAGATAGTGAGATGTCCTTAATTAACGATACCAAGTGAGCTGAGATAAGTACAGGTGAGGTGGTCTTGTCAGTGAATGGCTGCAGGGTCTCAGACAGAAATCGGGCCAATTGTAGGTAGGTGAGTCAATAGTGGAGACGATAGATGAAGGGGTGTACCCTGTTTATGGATTTTTGTAAGCCATACAATCTGTGTGGTTTGGCAGCAGAGGGTTTTAAAGAAAACCGCTTGGTTCGATTAAAGATGTCGAATCAGTGATGATATTGTTGGTTTTCGTAACGAGGCTGTTGGTGGGATCTATTTGTATTATTTTATAGCTACCATCATTAAGTAGGTGCTCAATGTTGTCATTGTATTGTTTTGTCCATGCTGACTGTGACATTGCTCTTGTCAGCTGAGAAGATGACGATGTAATTTCTCTTTTTTAATTAGGAAAGCTAAAAGCGCTCATCCTTACTGATGTTGCTAATAGGTGTTTTAGCGTTTTTGAGGATTGCAGCAATTTCCAATCTTGCCACGTCTATAGTGATGTGTCCCAAACCCTTATGGTCTACGTCAACCTGGGCAATTATATCATCAACTGGGATGTGTTTATGGGTGACTGCGAAATTTAGCCCTTTAGTTAGAACCGATTTTAGGCTGTCAGAAATTAGACTGTTATTCTGATTGATAATATTCTTGTCAATATTTAACTTTTTAACGTGGGGATCAGGCTTCTTCTTGGAAAGGAGGTTGAACGTGGAAATCAGGTTATCTTTGCATTTAGCTGACATTGAGTGCGGCTGAAGAGGCTGTCCTGTTATCTACATGTTCCCAATCAGATGTAGACATTTTTTTCCGTCAATGTTAAGTGTGGTTTTAGGAGAGCCTTGTCTAAATTATCTAGTTCAAATTTGAACTAGATAACCTGAATTCACCAGCCCTGCCCACTTCGTTTATGACCCTTGGGCTACACCCATTTTAACCATTTAAAAAATAGTCTGCCTCAGCAGCTTTCCCCCTCTTTTTACTTCCTGATGACGATCGCTTGTGTTGCGGTCGAAACGTCGTAGTTTTTTGTTATTTTTGGTTATTTTACTTTAACTTATCTACATGACTTTACCGAAAGACCCAAAGAAGATGATCGTATTATAATAAAAACACATTCACTCACTAGCTCCTACAACCCTCTAACTCACTCACCTATTCACTGACCCACTCCCCCACAACACTTTTTGCTATTTCGCTCGCATTCCTCTTTGGAACTCCCTCCCATAATTGTCTCTCCTTCCAAGCGCTTATAATAACAACCTTGGTCAAAACAAAAAACTCGTTCACGCTGCTGTTTATTCCTGACCTCTTGATATGTTGGGACTTTGTGTCTGTGCTTAGCAGCTGTGTTAACAAAAAAGAGGAAGAAGTACGGAATCTGCATGATGTGTACACGTGTACAACACAAGCGGCTGTGAGACGCAGCTTAAACCATGCATTGCGTTTGGTGCACAAATAATTTTAACAAGCTTTGATTAAGATTCAATGAAGTATTAACTTTTTAGCTCTGTCCATCTGTCTGTAATTGAGGGCAGCGATACATCTCTAAACTATAAACAAAACTCGAGTATGAGGTTTAAATTGTGACCATGAACTTAGCCTAGATAAAAAGGTCACTTTGCTCACAGGGGTATTTAAGCAAAACTTGGCGATGAAAAACCAGCACTAAAATAATTCACCATGTAAAGGTTAGCAAACAGAACCTGCCATCCACGGGCCATCAATTCTATTCCATCTCCTAGCGCGGCAATTTAAACAATATTACCACTCACAATAAGTGCATTTATTACCAAAATTACATTGGCATCGGTAATGGGTTCCTGATATTGAGAAACGGTAAATGATCCTGAAAACACGTAGGCTTTCGCGACCAATGTCAGCCAGAATAGAGGTTTTTGGGTATAAATGTGTCATTAAAACCCGCCACCACCCGACACAGCCAAGTAGTAAGGGTTGTCACGTAAACAGAACATGCCAATTCGTCACTCATACAGCACACCATGTGTTGGAAAGCCAAGCCACAACATTTACAAACCGAGTACGACGTTTCGCCAGTAATTACAACTAGCTTCATCATGTGACAGCCATATTTGTCGAGAAGTCTTACTGTTTCATTCCTTATATAATATAGAGGCGTAGATGTATGACCACCCTTCTGTGCTCTTGCACAATGTGTGGGATGGTGGATGGACTGAGCCAACGTACATTATGCATGTGCATTATGCGACCACTTTGAACTTGTCCATCCTGTCTATTGTATTAATTAAAATATCCCTACCAACGGTAATCCTTATTTAATTACGCTGCCCTTTGTAGGCATTTATTAAACTCGCCAGATGTTTTGAAAAACAAAAGATCCGAGTCAGATTTGGCATGGTACATAAATTGCAAAAATTAATATCTCTGTACTAAAGATGTATTACCAACGCTATGAACAGAAGGTAAGTGCAGGAATAACTGCACGTGTGGTAAATGTTATGTTGGGCAAACAGGACGAATGATCAGCTCGAGACTAAAAGAACATCAGAGAAATATTAAATTCTCCCAAATGCAACTGTCAGCAGTAGCAGAACACGCGTGCCAACAAGGACACTCAATTGATTTTGATAATGTTGAAGTTTTGTGTAAAACTAGCTACGACTGGCCAAGACTAATTCGAGAATCTATCCAAATTAAAATAAATCAAAATAACTTTAACCATTCAGATAGCTTCCGTTTTAGTGCTGCGTGGAAGCGAATAATCAAATAATACATTGTTTAAATAAATGCCTACAAAGGGCAGCGTACTTCAATAGGGATTACCATTGGTAGTGCTATTTTAATAGACACAATAGACAGGAAGGACAAGTTCAAAGGACTCGCATAATGCACATGCATAATGTACCTTGACTCAGTAATCCTCCCACCCCCCACAGTGTGCAAGAGCGCAGAAGGGTGGTCAATACATCTACGCATCTATATAAGGAACGAAACAATACGACTTCTCCACAAATCTTGCTGTCACCTGATGAAGCTAGTTGTAATTACTGGCGAAACGTCGTACTCAGTTTGTACATTTTGTGGCTTGGCTCTCCAACACACCGGTGTGCTGTACTAGTGACGAATTGGCATGTTCTGTTTACGTGACAACCCTTACTAGTTGGCTGTGTCGGGTGGTGGTAGGTTTTAACGACACATTTATATATTTATGCTAACACAAAAACTTCCATTAAGGATCCTTAAAACGCTTCCTGATTTACACTTGTTATTGGTTATCAACCCTGTTCAGTCGTCAGGCCCCTGGATTCAAGCGAAACATAGTTAAATTTCGATTTAAAGCTTTCGTGACTGCAGGGATTTTTTCGGTAAAGTCACGTAGAATGGAAACAATAAAAATAATAAAAATAAAACAAAATAAAATAATTCTCACGACGTTTCGGCGACAACGCAAGCAGCCGTCTTCAGATGAAGAACAGGTCTGTCGAGCAGACAGAGTCTGAATGACACACCCCAGGCTTGGAGCGTCTATTTAAGCTGGGTTGGAGGGGGGGAGAGCGCCTTGACAAAATAATTTGCATAGCAATAGGATTTTAGCATATTTATGGGAAATTCAGATATGCGATTAGTACTACTTGTGAAATGCGTAGGAGGTGGGCAGGGGGTTTAAAGTCATATTATGCCCGTGCATTATGCAGGATTAGCAGCATCAAAGGGAGGGGATTGGGGTAGCATTAATAAAGGGAAGGAATGTTAATAGTATGTAGCTGCAGTAACTAAACCACCACGTAAACAACTAAAGTATAAACTACATAGTATCATCAGTATACTAAATATACTCTTCAATAAGCTGAGCTACTAACAGTAAGTAATACATTACAATTCTATGTCGCAAAAAATATAATATGCTTCCAGCTAAACTTTATTCTCTTACATCACACGGGTATACCCCGTACTATATACTGCCATAGACAAACCCAACATTAAATTATATACTGTATTACTATACACCACCCTATACCTTCGACTATACATTGTAATATTACACTATGTATTATTCTACCCACCCTACTGTATATACAACACATCAATTCCATTCATCTTCTTGGTTCTTTCGGTAAAGTCACGTAGAATGGAAATAATACAATAATAAAAATAAAACATAATAAATAATTCTCACGACGTTTCGGCCACAACGCAAGCAGCCGTCCTCAGGTGAAGAACAGGTCTGTCGAGCAGACAGTCTAAATGACACACCCCAGGCTTGGAGCGTCTATTTAAGCTGGGTTGGAGGGGGGGAGAGTGCCTTGACAAAAGAATTTGCATATCAAGAGTAATTTAGCATATTTATGGGAAATGCAAATATGCGATTAGTACTACTTGTGAAATGCGTAGAAGGTGGGCGGGGGTTTAAAATCATATTATGCCCGTGCATTATGCAGGATTAGCAGCATCAAAGGGAGGGTATAGGGGTAGCATTAATAAAGGGCCATGTCACCACGCAGCACACCGGAGGTTTGGGGGTGGGGGTGTACTCTCACCTGCCAGGGCCAGCTGTTGCGTGCCGTCTCTTCACCGTTGACGATGCGGCCCTGCTGGAGGTTAATTTTAATTCCTTGAAGCTTCAGGTTGCGCCGTAACACAGCTCCATCCTCCTGGGCTGAGATAAGACCTGGGACACGGAGAAAGCAACACGATATTAATCTCATAATTCAGAATGTGTAACCCGCTTTTTTATTTATTAAAGAGAGGGTGATTTAGAGGTGCGGGGAACAACAGACAAGTGCGAAGAGCAACCAGTACCGACGTTAATAATTACGCAAGGTCCTATAGTTGTATGTTGGACGAACTCTTTAAATTCGTGTTTATACATTTGGGAGGAAACTGGAGTGCCCGGAGAAAACCAATGCGTGCAGGAAAGGTAACACTCAATCTCCAACAATTTCCCAAGCTCTGTGGTCATATATTGCGATGTTTCGCCAACTCCATGTATAAGTGCTTATGGGGTGAATCAGAATTCCATGTTTGTGTCAATATATGTGTATGTCTAGTGGGGAGTGGTATTGTAGTGGTTAGCGCACTGCGCTACAAACCTGATGACCCGAGTTCGATTCTCGCTCACGGGCAACACCAGTGACGATTTTTTGAACCGGTCATGGACCTCCCCAAGGTCGACTCAGCCTCAAATGAGTACCTGGTGTTGTGTGTAAACATCGCCATGGTACTGGCCACCCACCACCTCGTGTGCCGTGCCGGCCTCCATAGGTGTTCACTAACAGCACTTGCTCCAATAGTCTGTTACAGGCTATATGGGGGAATCTTTGTCATTGTGAGTGTCTGTTTGTATGCGTGTAAGTTGTTTTGAGTCTTTCTCTGTGTTCGTGTCGTTTGTATGAGTCTGAGAAATTAAGTGGTGTGTGAGTGTCTGTATGTGTATGTGCAAGTTACTTAGTATATTTGTATATATATGACACAGTGTATGTGTGTGATTGCGTTTGAATCTGTCTGTGTGTATGTCTTAGTGTGTTAATGTCTGGGGAGAGCGATATAGTAGCGGTTAGCACTCTGTGCTATGAATCGAAATTCGATACCCGCTCACGTGCAACACCGGTAAGGCTATATTAGAACGATTGTCTTTTTCTGTGTGAGTCTGTGAGTCTGCGAGATACTCACCCTCACTGAGCAGCAGGACCAGCAGGAGCCTGAAGATGTTCACCGTGCACATATTTGCCTCTGAAGGTCCCGGGTTTCCGTGTCTGTCCGCTACCGCTATTTAAACACCTGGCTTCCTGCTCCTCTCACCTCCTCTAATTTTACTCTATACCCCTTGTCGCAACGCTCTCCGATCCCCCCCCCCCCCGCTAACTCCCCTGCTACCCACACTCTTTTTTTTATTGCAGGTGTTTTCATGGCGATAAGACTGAATTCAGATCCGTACAGTCATAAACTATGTGCGTGTCCTCGTGTGTTACAATAGTGAGTGGATTTCGATTTAAAGCTTTCGTGACTGCAGGGATTCATCTTATTGGTTCTTTCGGTAAAGTCACGTAGTAGGGAAGTAATACAATAATAAAAATAAAACATAATAAAATAATTATTTTATTATGTTTTATAATTATTTTATTATGTTTTATTTTTATTATTTTACTTCCCTACTACGTGACTTTACCGAAAGAACCAAGTACACATTCACCATAAAAATAAAACATAATAAAATAATTATTTTATTATGTTTTATTTTTATTATTTTACTTCCCTACTACGTGACTTTACCGAAAGAACCAAGTAATAAAAATGAAACATAATAAAATAATTATTTTATTATGTTTTATTTTTATTATTTTATTACTTCCCTACTACGTGACTTTACCGAAAGAACCAAGAAGAAGTGAGTGGATTCCCTTCGTGATTCCGACTTCTTTGGGTTGTTTAACATGACGCGTTCACGGATCAGTGGTGGTGCCATCGCAACCTTCTCTGATTGTTTGTACTGAGCTCGACAAATACAAAACGTAGCTGCATCCTGGTTATCCATTCACGTCAAAGCAAGTTAATTTATTTAACGCACGATGCAACCTTTTATACGTTTACTTTTAGGTCAACGAGTTGTATAGATTCACACTTGCAGGGTGTATCTATCTTGATGTCCCCAATGTGGACTGTCAGGTGTAGTGGTGGCAGTGCAGGGCAAGGCCATTCCATGCTTGGCGCCTTGTACACATTCACCACTGTGGTGCCGCTGATGTTGATATATATTACGGAGATGTTTGAAGGTCGTCCTTGACATAAGTAGCGATTCCATGCTTGGCATTTATATTTTGCAGTGAAGGGAATGTATTAATTGATCTTGAAACGGTCGCCCTCATCCTCCATGCGTGTATCTTGGAGCACGATTGCTTCAATATGAATCGATTTTCAGCGCCTTTGTGAGGTAGTCTTTATTTCATGATATTTCCCTTCAATGTTTAGCTGCATGATGCTCAGCGATGATCCGATTAACATTTTGGCTTTGATGATTTGAAGGTTGTTTCTGATATTGCTGCTGATATTCTGACTGTGAGGATACTTACTACCGTTATGTTGCAAATTTGATGACATTTGTTACGTTTTCATACTTAACAGGGAAGACCACGTGCTCTTGCTCTTCCACGTCACCACCCCATTAAGCACATTGGTGGACATTCAAATCGAGTCTACAGCCACACTCTAGTGGCCGGTGTCCACTCACCACAGCACCAGGAGGGGAAGCTAGTTTGGAACGTTAAGTCAAAGTACATCTCCATAAAACTATATGGATGCTACGTAGGTACAGTATATTGATAATTTTCAATTTGAGCAGCATTCAAACATCCAGATATAAACGTTATATAGGCCAAACATGAAATAGTCTAACTAATTTACAATTTGGGTGGCCTAACATATAAAATTCTGCTTCTGGAATGTTTCCAGTGAAAAGAACGACTCGACTAAATTTGTGACATATGTTTTTGCCCTTCTTGAGCGCTATTCCAAATTACATTACACACATTCGCCTGTGACTAAATCAACCAGCGTTCGACAGATCTTATCAAATCTTATAAGTTAAAGAAGAGTCTTGACTTAAAGCTGTCGTGGCTGCAGGAATTCATATTATTTGGGTCTTAAATAGGTTCAAAGAAAATAATGAAAACCTACTAAAAACTACGACATTTCGATCGCAACACAAGTGTGTTATGTTGCGATCACTTGTGTTGCGATGGAAACGTCATAGTTTTATGTTGGTGTTAAATACATGTGTTGCCTCCAAGAGTACGTCTGCAACTCAGTTGAACTCACTACCACTGGTGTCTTCAGTGGCCAAACATTATTTTATTAGTAAGCTAGCTGAGTTAGGTTATGTTTACGCGACGCAGACTACATACCAGGACCTCGGATGATGAAGACGACGAAGTTATCCCTCAAACAGCCCCGGGGATGGCAATGCTAAAAAAAAGGGAGTGAGGCGCTGTCGGCGGAGCATCACATAGACCATCCAAGCGACAGCTCACCGCTGTCGGGGAGGGAGCGCCGCACAGCTAACTCCCACCTCGCATAACTCCTCCAAGCCATGTCGTCGATCGTTGCGAGGCTACACTGCGAAGAGCCAGTGGTGGAGGAGACTGCAACAGGAGCCGCGTAACACTGAACATCCCGTCGCTATTTCCCGCCTATGGGGAACCTTCATGATGCAGCCCACGCAAACGGCCGCCATTTTGATGGCTTAGCAGATCGAAGAGCCTGCCAAATCTGAGACTGCGTTGATCTCGCATGTGGACATTCCATCTCTCAGACGAAGACTGCCCTTTGTTAAATAATTTACATCCACCAGAGGCAACTGTGTGTTCCTTCAAACGCCGGTTCCAGATGAATTGTGACTTGGCGGGGTGGACAGAGGCAGAGGCACTGAGAGCACTGCCCGCTGCACTTGACGACGATGCCTTGGCGGCGTTTCTCACCATCCTGCCATCAGAGAGGGCCACGTTATATCACGCCTTTGCGCAAATGGCGGCAATCTACGAACCGCCGTCAAATATGCACCATAAGTTTGCTACACGGAGGAGGGGGGAGGCCGAAACACCCCTCGCCTTTCATATTTTATCTTTTCTCACTTCTCCGACCAAACAATCATATTTATCTTTATGTTGAGTTTCATAGTGTCGACGTAAATTGTATTCTTTGAACACAGACACTATATTCTGGCATATCAGACACACAGCTCTTTCCTTGTACTGCATGAAAAAGTAATCATAAGTCCACTGTTCTTTGAATATCCTACACTCCGAGTCAACTTTTCTCTTTCTTGACATCATTGTTTCCTAGGGAGTCAAAATTGCTATTAGTAAAATACCAATATATATACAGCGCTACAAAAACAATATACCAGCAATAACTTTGCCCACACAGAGACATACAGACTGCACTGCCCATCAATGCAGTCTGATTGGGGGAACTCCGCTTTTACCCCAGGCTCACACTGGTGCGGGTGCCATTAAAAAGTTAATTACACCTGCAGTTTTGTTCACAGATCGCAGTGCGATCTGCGAACTCGCATAGGAATCTGATCGCATGGGGGAGAAGACCCATGCGATCCGATTCCACTGCAGGAAAAAAGAAGGCACATGTGCCTTTTTTTTCTTCCAAATCTAATGCAAGTTCAGCCATACAAGCATATGGCTGAACTCGCACTGCTCAGAGATCGCAACAGTATGAACCGGGGCTTAAACAACATACAACATATAACCTCATACAACTGAATAGCAATCAGAATATAAATGCACTTACTGTCATTTAAATTGGGTTTCCTACTCCTCGGCTGTCTGTCACTGACCAGCACGGGAAAACAGCAGGCAGCCCCTCCAGAGATCAGAGATCACTCTGTTATTACCCCTCTATCATTTACTCAGCGGTGCGTGTGCTGGGGATCTACATCCCCAGCACACAGGAATATCACTGGGAGTGGAGCCGAGGGGCAAGTGAGGGAGCTGAGGGAGGGAGAGCCAGTCTAGCGCAGCCAGGGGAGGGCTGGCAGCCTTAGGCCTGGGGGGGCAAGTCCAGTCAATTGGCCCATTGAACCATTCACCAGCGCAGCCCAATGAGTGCCCACCGCCGCAGCTCAATCAGTGCCCACCGCCGCAGCTCAATCAGTGCTCACCAGCGCAGCCAAATCAGTGCTCGCCACCGCAGTCCAATCAGTGCCCACCACCGCAGCCCAATTAGTGCTCACCAGCGCAGCCCAATTAGTGCTCACAAGCGCAGCCCAATTAGTGCTCACAAGCGCAGCCCAATTAGTGACCATGGGCCGGATAAATGTCCTCGGCGGGCTGCATGTGGCCCGCGGGCCGTAGTTTGAGGACCCCTGCTCTACAGTAACAGTCAGCTATACAGCCTAGGAACACAGCCTACGTCTACGCGTGCCTGACACTGGCTACGCTCTCAGGTCCTCCGGCTATGTATTTCCTAAAGGAGGCTATCTGACCCGACCTAACCAGGGTACGGGTCTCAACCACTGGCCCATCGGACCCGGCCCTGATAAGGACGTCGGGCCAGGGGTTCCCAGGGTCTCACCACTGGGCCACACAGAGTCCCGGCCCTGATAAGGGCGGCGGGGCTAGGGGTCCCAGGGTCCTATCTAGCTTACTCCGTCTTCCTTCTTCACTGGCTCCAACGACTCCCCGAGCTCTCTCGCGCACCGCCCTATATACCCCTCTGCCCCCCCGAGGGGCGGGGTTGTATGCGGACGTCGATGTAGCCACCCCATGCACGGACCGTGATGTAGACACCGGCTACGTAATGGCTCGCTACACCCCGGTACGTACCACCTCTACACAATGATTGCTCAGTTTATACCCGACTTCTCGATTGAAGTTGTGTCTGTGTCTGTATATGCGGATGGTTTCATGAACGAATCTTTGTTGATAGCGAGTGGGTTTGCAAAGTACCTTTGTGTGAGCCCACCACATTAAAACAATGATCAGCCATGGCCAAGGTATTGGGCCTACCGTTTTTCAGATCTGCCTTATGTTCATGAACATAGTCCAATACATATCGCTTAGTTTCCCCAATGTAACTACTGACGCAGACACAGCTTAGTTTGTAGATGCTGTGGTATGTATTGTATGTCAGGAATCACATGATTTCGATTTAAAGCTTTCGTGACTGCAAGGATTCATCTTCTTGGTTCTTTCGGTAAAGTCACGTAGAGGGGAAGTAATAAAATAATAAAAATAAAACATAATAAAATAATTCTCACGGCGTTTCGGCCACAACTCAAGCAGCCGTCCTCAGGT